AGTGTGATGAAGGATCGTGTGTTGCGTTCCCTTGACTTGTCTCGATCACGGCTTCGCCACGGCCTTGATCTCGACGATAGGTGTGATCGACTCGGTTATTAGCCTAACTCTCTCACGATACTTGAGTTCACTCAGGTCTTAGCCTCGCTCCCTCTTTTGAACTAGCTCGGGTGTTAGCCTCGCTAACTCGGTTGAACTGGCTTGGGTCTTAGCCTCACCAATTCGATTGCGTGATCGAACTCTCACGAATCCTAACACACGGTTTCGAACAAATTTTCTTTTCTATTCAACTCATTCCAAGACCTGAAAAACAATGAGGGATCATCCCTATTTATAGATCCTAACTATGACTAATTCTAATCTACCTAGGAAACTAATTAAAGTAATTAAATATTAAATAACCTAAACAATCTAGATATTATTGTGCAAGAAGGAAACTAAATATCTAGAGTCTTAATTGACTAGATCTTGATCTTGCTTGGCATGCACTCCAAACAATTCCAATTCTTGCCCAAGTACTTTTGCACGTCGCCTTTCTTTTCGCGCGCCGACTCGCGTTGCCTATTCTTGGGCGCGCGAGGCATCGTGCGCCTCGTCCGACTCGCACGCGCTGGTCACCGCCCCCGCTACTCCTACTCCCGCACGGTCGTCCGCCTCGTATGCGCGCGCTATCACGCGCTCCTCGCGCTCGCCGCCTATCTCGCGCGCGTGTAGCTCGTGCATTCCTAAGCCTCCTAGTCTGGACTCCACTCGTGCGCCCATGCGCGCGCCCCTTCATCGCTGCCCAGGCTCCGCGCGTCCCGGTCACCCTCTGAGCCCCAATCGCCGACGGCGCACCCCACCGCGCCTGCTTCTTTGCGCGTCGCATCCGTCGCTCGCGAGCCCCGATCGCCTCCCGCGCATCCCCGTGCACCCGCGGTATTGCTCGTACCATTCTCTCCCGCAAACTGCCCATCCGCGTATCTTTCGTGCCCCGTCGTTACGCCACCGAACGCCACCGCGTCCCAGTCGACGTCCGCGACTTGCCCGCCTATCATGCACCCTCGTACATCATCTTGCTCCGTCCAACCTCGCGCATCATGGGCCGATGCGTGCCACTCGCCCTTCAGCCGATTGCCGTTGACCTCCTTGTTGCCGCTCGTCTCCGTCGGCTCGGGCCATGGTTCCCAATCTTTCATTCTCTCGCAATCTTCCGACGGTAACCACCATCCATCTTCAACCCATCGCAGACCACGCCTTCTAGCCTCCTTCTTTCGTGCTCGCCTTGTCTGCACACAAGGCTTGAACCAACATTGACTTGCTTTTCTAACCTTTGCTTTACGTCGTCTCTTGGCCATCCGTTTCCTCGCCTTTGACTTCAGCTTCGGGCCACACCCTTTCGGCCAATCTCGTACACATGGTGGCCGGTATATTGGACTTGTTGGCTCCTCCAACATGTTCTCCAGCCATATAACGAGACCATCGTCACCATCCTCGTCGGACTCGTCTGGGTTGATGACCACTTTCGTATCATTCCCCTCCTCTTCAAGACTTTCCTTATCCTCAAGGATTAGAAAATTCAGCGCACCATCATCCTCACGGTTTTGAACTTCACCCTCCGTTGCTCCTCGGCCTCCTACGAGTTGTCGCTCGTATTCTTCTCGATTTCTTCGCTCATGGAGTTCGTCTAGATACGTGCTTTCCCATGGGGTAAGTTCCCTCTCCAAACTCTCCAATAACTCGAGATCTTCTCAATCCATCTCGTCCATTGGCACATAAGACATTTTTTTTTAAGACTAAAAAATTCGAACAAAAGTCGAACCAAAAATAAAACAAAAGAAATTCGGCCCCTCAACAAAAGGTAGTAACCGAAAAAAAAATCAAACAAAGGACTAGATGACCTTTTTTTTTTTTTTTTGATACTCACGAAATTTCTTCGAAAATTCGAGGAAAAATTAGAAAGACTCGAACAAAAAAGAACCAAAAATTCGAACAAAAAAAGAAAAAGAATGGGATAGAAAAAAGTTCACGAACACACAATCAATCACTCTTAATGAAAGAACCAATGATGAAGGATCGTGTGTTGCATTCCCTTGACTTGTCTCAATCACGGCTTCGCCACGGCCTTGCTCTCGATGATAGGTGTGATCGACTCGGTTATTAGCCTAACTCTCTCACGATACTTGAGTTCACTCGTGTCTTAGCCTCGCTCCCTCTTTTTAACTAGCTCGGGTCTTAGCCTCGCTAACTCGGTTGAACTGGCTTGGGTCTTAGCCTCACCAATTCGATTGCATGATCGAACTCTCACGAATCCTAACACACGGTTTCGAACAAACATTCTTTTCTATTCAACTCATTCCAAGACCTGAAAAACAATGAGGGATCATCCCTATTTATAGATCCTAACTATGACTAATTCTAATCTACCTGGGAAACTAATTAAAGCAATTAAATATTAAATAACCTAAATAATCTAGATATTATTGTGCAAGAAGGAAACTAAATATCTAGAGTCCTAATTGACTAGATTTTGATCTTGCTTGGCTTGCACTCCAAACAATTCCAATTCTTGCCCAAGTACTTTCGCACGCCTCCTTTCTTCGTGCGCGCCAACTCGCGTTGCCTATTCCTTGGCGCGCGAAGCATCGCGCGCCTCGTCCGTCTCAAACGCGCTGGTCACCGCCCCCGCTACTCCTAGTCCCGCGCGGCTTGCGTCGTCCGCCTTGTACGCGCGCGCTATCGCGCGCTCCCCGCGCTCGCCGCCTATCTCGCGCGCGTGTAGCTCGTGCATTCCTAAGCCTCCTAGTCTGGACTCCACTCGCGCGCCCATGCGCGCGCCCCTTCATCGCTGCCCAGGCTCCGCGTGTCCCGGCCACCGTTTGAGCCCCAATCACCTACGGCGCACCCCACCGTGCCTGCTTCTTTACGCGTCGCATCGTCGCTCGCGAGCCCCGATCGTCTCCCGCGCATCCCCGTGCACCCGCGGTATTGCTCGTACCGTTCTCTCCCGCAAACTGCCCATCCGCGTATCTTTCGCGCCCCGTCGTTACGCCACCAAACGCCAACGCGTCCCAGTCGACGTCTGCGACTTGCCCGCCTATCATGCACCCTCGTACATCATCCTGCTCCATCCAACCACGCGCATCATGGGCCGATGCGCGCCACTCGCCCTTCAGCCGATTGCCGTCGACCTTCTTGTTGCCGCTTGTCTCTGTCGGCTCGGGCCATGGTTCCCAATCTTTCATCCTCTCGCAATCTTCCGCCGGTAACCACCATCCATCTTCAACCCATTGCAGACCACGCCTTCTAGCCTCCTTCTTTCGTGCTCGCCTTTTCTTCACACAAGGCTTGCACCAACATTGACTTGCTTTTCGAGCCTTTGCTTTATGTCGTCTCTTGGCCATCCGTTTCCTCGCCTTCGACTTCAGCTTCGGGCCACACCCTTTCGGCCAATCTCGTACACATGATGGCCGGTATA